ATCCTAGACGTGGGCCTTCCAGGGGCCCAGCTTCGGCGTCCCTGATGTTAGCTAAGGGGTCCCTGATATTAGCTAAGGGGTCGTTTGCATGACCTTTGTATACATATGCACAGGCGAGGGAGTGGTGATGAGGACCCAGGCCACGGGGTTGCAGCGAGTTCTAACGAAACCCTCACCCTCACAGCCCTTCTCGCCACTCGTGGCGAGTTGGGATACCCATCGGGCCATTCCGCGCCCTTCCCACAGTCAGGGCGTGCAGGCTGCACGGTGCTGTCCAGCCTGGGGGACGCCTTCGCCTCCTCCGCCACGCTGGGGTGATTACCTTCTACGTGGGGACTCCAGTCTGCACCCCCACTGAGCTCGTGGGGAGGGCGGAACCTGAGTGGGCAGGAGGGGGCGGGGCACGGGAGACGGGCGGAGAGGGGCCTGCGTGATGGTTCGCGCGAGACTGGAGCGGGCGTGGTCCTGAGAGGAGTGACGGACAGGGCAGAACCTCGGGGGCGGGTCTGCGGCTGCGGGGCTTGAGTGACTGACAAGGTGGGCGCGGCTGGGGCGTGATCTGGCGAGCTGGAGCCCGGCCTGGATGACAGTGAGGGCAGGGCTAGAAGAGGGGAGAGGCGGTCGCCGTGCGGGGGCGGGACCAGCCATGACCGAAAGAGCAAGGCCGGGGCCAGAGCGAGGGTTTAGCGTGGCCTGTGAACGCAGGGCCAGAGTGACTGTCAGGGCAATGGGCGGGCCCGAGCTGCGCGGTTGAAGAGGAACCTTTCAGGGTAGCGGCGAGGCCAGCCATCGGGTGGGGCCAGGGAAAACTGACCGGGCAGGGGTGCGTCTGGAGATGACGGAGCGCTGGACTACCAGTCCGAAGGGCCAGGAAAGGATGACCGGGAGCTGGAGGCCGGGAAAGGAAGGAGGAGACGCCGGGCGTATATGACGTAGTATGAGTGACCAGGCAGGTGGCGGGACCCAGAATAAGGACCTTTAGTGGGTGGGACGAGAAACGCCTTGAGGGCGGGGCTAAGGGGCCCTGAGTGACAGCCAGAGGGCTCGGTCAGAAACAAAGGTAGTGCAGCTCTGCAAGAAATTCCCTCCACTTCTGGCTGGACATCCCGAGCTTCGAGCATTTCGTGCCCAGGTGAGAGAAGGGTCACCATTGCTGCCCGGGCTGCCACCAGCCGTATCCCTCCTCTAGCCTCGCCCTCTCCTCCGAGGGCGTCTGCCCTGGGGCCGGGGCGATGCAGAGATCAGACCTGCCCGTAGGAGGTTTCTACTTCCAGGCCCCCGGGTCCAGTCCGGTCCCAGACATATCCAGCCCAAGACGTGCACCTGGCCCTGATCGCGCTACGGAGTCGTTCCCGGGCCGGGAAACCCGCCATTAACGGTTGTCTCCGTGGCAGCCCTGGTTTAGTAGCTGTTTCTGACCCGGCTCGCCTGCCCACAGCTGCAGAAACGTTTTCTGAACTGGCCCCTGGAGCTGCAGATCTTCGCGCGACGTCCTCCAAGCCTGCGCTGCTGCCTGTCGTCCCGCTAGCTTCAGCGCACCCCGCAAAATCCGCGCATCTGCCGCAATTCCTGCTAGTGAGCCAGACAGGCCTCAAGACTGATCCTGACCACGCCCCCTCTGTTCACCGGCCCCGCCCTCCACCAACTAGTCCAATCCCCTTACGGCCTCCTTTCCCTGCTGTACCCTGGCTCCGCCCTTACACTGCAGTCCCCGCCCCAAGGATAAGCCTCGCCCACTCCTACCTTTCCCTGCCCCGCTATCCCAGATTGACAACCCTCCATTTCTGGCCCTGCCCCTGCACTTATTGAACCCCCTCCTCCGGTTCCAGATCTCTTTCCCAAATTCAACCGGCCCCTGGGGCTGCGGAGAGGCTAGGGGTAAATAAAGGTCCGCAACACTTGGTCTATCACCTCTTCCTACTTTGGCTTTCGGGTCCTGCATGAGGTCTAGGTCTTTCTTAGTATCCCCTCTGGGCTGCAGGGCACGACGTGGGTCCTGCGTGAAACCTGAAGGGGAGGGGTGAGGCAGGGGAGTCATACCGGCAGGATGCTGAGGCCGTGGCTGAGGTGAGGTCTTTTAAAAAAAAAAAAAAAAAATTATTTTATTTTATTTTTTAGAGGGAGAGGAAGAGAGGGATAGAAACATCACTGAGAGAGACATGGATTGGCCGCCTCTTGCATGGCCCCCACTGGGGATCTGACCCACAACCTGGGCACGTGCCCTGATGGGGAATGGAACCTGCGACCTCTCCGTGCTTGGGTCAGTGCTCAACCACTGAGCCACACCGGCCGGGCTGTGGCTGAGGTCTTTATTCTGGGCAGAATCTTGGGGGCTCCCTGGACCTGATCAAGTGAGTGAGAGCTGGAGGGTCATAGCCCCAGGGCCAGCAGGAAAGGGACAGATTCCTTTAATCTACTGTTCTTGCTTTTTCCGAAATGTCAGCCTGCATTCCTATTCACCGCAATCTCAGTCTTAGCTGTAAGTGGCCTATAATGCCCCATACGGAGCACCCTCCCCTCTGTGCCTAACAAGGTTCCCTGGGAAGACTCCAATTCCTGGCCCCAGAACCCATGAGAGGCCTGCCTTGTGGGAGAATCTGACTATTCCCAGGTTTAGGATCTCCAGATGCTGCTCCACATCGCCCCAAAGGGGTTGTTCTGCCCTATGTCAACCTTGAGCCATGCAGCCTGCCTCCATCCCATCCCCCTCAGCCCTGGGGGCCAGATTCCCCAACAGATGTTTCTTATCACAGCATCGACCCACATCTGCCGCCTGCCTGGAGGGCCTGGAGTTCCCACAGATTGGAGGATGGAAGAGGGCAGGGCAGAACAGAGGGTCTCCATCCCCAAATGCCTTCCCTTGGGAGGCCCTCTGAGGGATGGGGAAACAGAGGCCCAGAAATGATGCCATTTGGCCACAAGCTCTGCAGCAGTGGAGCCTACACATCAGCCACTAACTCCAGTTCAGCCAGCTCCTGTGGAAAACTCGAACAAGACTCAAGGCGTGCTCTCCCCAGCTGGCCTGAAGAAGGGTCTTCCCTTGTCCTCTGTTCATAGGGCTACTCTCAAATTTTTCCATTTTTTGTTCAGATAGAGTGGGAGGGAGAGAGGGAGAGAGAGAGAGAGAGAGAGAGAGAGACATCAACGTGAAAGGGACACATCGAGTGGTTGCCACCTGCACAACCCGGCCTGGGGACAAACTGCAACTGAGGTATGTGCCCTTAGCAGGAACCGAACTCGGGTCTTTTTGGACCGCAGGCCGACGCTCTACCACTGAGCCAAACCGGCCAGGGCGGGAGTTGAGGATCTTTTGGAGATTGAGTGAACTACCACGCTGCCTGCACTTGGTTTTGTGTCTGTTGTAGTCCAGAATGGAGGTGACGTCCATCCTGCCCACTCTAGGGTTTCTCTGTCACCTTCCCCTGAGTCCCTGCTCTTCTAGGCTCATCTGCCCTCCCTCTCCCCCCTCCTCCAGGGACTAAGCCCCTACTTCCAGACAATGGCTGGAGTGGGTCCCTATGACCTCACTGGGCTACAGGAACCCTGATGGCTGGGTGCACCTCATTGGCCCAGAGCTGGGAGACTTAGAAATCTCTGGTCCCAGGTCACAGCAGCGACCCACAGCTTTCACCCATCAGTCCACCATCAGTATTCAAACAATCCCAGGCCACATTTATTGAACTCATGCTCTGTTCCATTTAACCACTTCACTCCCATACCTTTAGTGAACTTCCTTCTTTAAAATAAAATCCAAGCCCTGGCCGGTTTGGCTCAGCGGTTGGAGCATTGGCCTGTGGACCAGAGAGTCCTGGATTCGGTTCCCGCTAGGGGCACGCACCTAAAATAAAATAAAATGCAAGATTGCCCTGGCTAGTTTGGCTCAGTGATTAGAGTGTCGGCCCAAGGGCCAATGACTCAAGGGTTCGATTCTGGTCAAGGACACGTACTTTGGTTGCGGTTCATCTGGCCCTGGTCATGGTCGTGCTGGAGGCAACAGTCTATGTGTCCCTCTCACATCTATATTTCTCTTTCTTTCCCTCTCTCCCACTCTATCTGGAGATAAATAGAAAAATATTCTCGGATGAGGATTAAAAAAATAAAAATAAAATAAAATGCACGATCTATACCATGGTCTATGAGGCCCCGTTTTGTGGTTCAACCCCACTCCAATGCTCCTCTATGCCCATTGCATGCTGGCCAAGAACGTCTTACTCTGTTCTTTGAACATATCTGTGTTTTTATGCCCCTGGACCTTTGCACAAGCCTTTTTCTCTGCTTGGAACTGGATTGTAATGCATATAAGGGCAGAGATTGTGTTTGGTTTTGTTTGGCTCTGCATCTTAACCTGGTAAACAATAGATACTCAGTAAATGCCAGCTGTAATAGGTCTTAATAAATAATTCTTGAATAAATGTATTTGATGCTTTTTTATTGACTTAATCTTTACAACAAGAACTCAGAGGTTAGTTCTTGTTGAAGGCCACACAGCTATGATTTGAACCTGAGGGAGGCTTTTTTCGCCTCTCATTGGGTGTGGTGTGTAGGAATGAAGTAGTACATGACACACCAGCTTCCAGATTCTAGATACTTGTGGGCTTCCTGGAGCAGGAGGCATTGGCTCTGGATTGGAAAGTTGGCATTAAACTTGGGTCTGCAAAGGTCCAAAGAGAGCATTCTAGATGAAAGGATCAGAATGAGCAAAGGTGTGGAGGCAGGAAGATCCAGCTCCTGGAACTACCCAAATGGACACTGAGCCAGCCAGGACACACCATTAGCTGTGTCCTAGGGTGCAGTCAGCCGGCAGTCTCCAGAGGCAAGACCCCCGTGGGTGGTGAGTCACTCTGCAGTCCCTCTCTCCAGACTGTGGCTCAGAGCCCTCAGGGAGGTGAGCTGGGCGCTCCCACGCCCCTCTGGGGCAGGACGTTTCCATGTTCCCACGCAGGGGTGGCCTTGGGAAAGGCTTGGGCGGGCTCAGGGGCGGGCACCAGAGCTCTGGTCCCTCTGCAGCCCATTCTCCGTTACTCCCTCAGCCGACCTGGATCTTGCTCTCCCTGCAGCAGGCTGTGAGGTAAGTGGTTGGGAGAGCCCCTGCTCCCCAAGCCTGGGAGAGTGGGGAATGGACTTGGACTCGGGCCCAGGTGGTCCCTGCTACAGAAGAGGGGGAGGGGGCAGCTCAGAGTAGAGTACTCTTGGGGAACTGTCCTCTGTCCGTCTGCATATGGGTCACCATCCCTTTCCTCAAATGCAGTTTACTCCTTCCCTGTCCCCACATGTGAACTTATCACTGATGGGAGCCCTTCCTTCCCAGATGTAGAGCCCCCTTTCAAGTATCACACATGGTATACCACTTCCTAATTATCGGGTGTCCCCTCCCCAGATGTGGGGGGGCGCTTTCTCTTTCCAGAAGTGAGATACCTCTTTACTCTCTCCAGATGTGTGCTCCTCTTCCTCCCTCTGACCCATTTTGGTCCTTGTCCTCCTCTAAAGTCCCTCCCCACCCCCATGGGATGTCAGTCCCTGAGACTCCCCACCCCATGGGGGTTGGGCTCATCCTGTCCCCCTCCTCCACTAGATCCAGCAGAGCAGGCTCTCCCTGCACGTAGGCAGCCAATTAGGGGGGGAAGCGGTGGGGGCCGACCGACCGTCTGGCAGAGACTGTGGCAGATGGCCGGGTAGGGAGGAGAGGTAGTCCCGGGACCTGCTTCCTCTCTACCTGGACTCCCACCCCATTTCCTTTGGGGGACAAGCAACCCAGGGAGTTTCCCAACCTGGCCAGGCTGAGCTAGGGCAGGAAGCAGGACCCAGGCCCCCAACCCCCAACTGTTCAGACCCTGCCATAAGAATTAGGCCTCCTCTCGCTTCTCAGATGGTGCACTGAGGTCCCAGGAGGGAACTTCAAATGTCTAGGACCCCCATCTACGCCCATAGAGATATCAGACAAAATTAGAAGGGTTAAGGGCCCGAAGGTGACCTTGAAATCCTAGAACCCCCTCACCACCACACCTGTGAACCTGGTTTCTCCACCTGGGCCCTAAGGGGTAGAGGCAGAGGGCAATGTGAGGGCTCATTCACGCACACCCCCAGATGTTCTTCAGAGCTGTCTGGAGCTTGGTGCTGAGAAAGCGAGGACTTGGAATGCGAGGGATCCACAGCCCAGGAGACGCTGGTAAGACCTGGGCACCTTCCTCCCTTGTTAACTCCAAGGCAGGGGACAGGAGTCCTGTCTGCAGGCTGCCCCGTCCCTTCCAGCTGGGCCTACCCTAAAACCATTTCCCACAGTCCTACTCCTGGGTCCAGGAAATGGAGGTTCTGCATTCCAAGCTTCCTCAGAACCTGACCCCTAAACATAGGTTCCTGAGGTGAAGGTGCTGACAGAACCTGGGACCTCCTTTCCAGGCCCTAGTGTCCGCTCTTCTCAGAAGAAGGAGGCCAAAAGCAGAAGAGATTTCAGCCAGATAGCAGAAGGGACTTTCTGATTTAATTATTTACTCACTTACAAATAAATAACATTTACTGAGCCCCTCCTATGTACCCCTACCCGAGATAAACATTTTAGACAGATTAACACTTTAGACTTCACAACAGTCATGTGAGGTGGGGTCTGTGCTACTATCTCCATTTCTCAGATGAACAAACTGTGGCCCGGAGACCTAGATATACAAAGAGCCAGGGCTCCTTGCTCAAAGCAGTTCCAGTGCTACCCTGGCAAGGTGGTATCAATGCCAGCCTGTGGGCATCTCTGGGGACAATAAACAGAAGCTTTGTTGAGATTCCTAGTGCTCGGCCTTTTTTCTGGACACTTACGCGGAGCTCTTGCGGGCAGACCACGGACAGTGTCCAAGAATGGAAGCCGGCAGTAAACCAACTTCTCTACCAGTATTAGTTAGGGAGCATCTACTATGTGCCAGTACACTGAGGCGCCCGGAGGTAAAGGGGCTGGTTGGAGCCGGGGTGCGGAGGAACTGAGTTTCAGACCCAGCTGACTCCAAAGCTATGCCCTTGATCTCTCATTTAAGGCATATGGAGCCCTGGCCAGTTTTCTCAGTGGTTAGAGCATAAGCCTGTGGACCAAAATGTCCTGGGTTCAATTTCAGTCAAGGACACGTACCTGGGTTGCAGGTTTGATCCCTGGCCCCAGCTGAGGTCATGCAGGAGGCAACCAAACGATGTGTCTCTCTCACATCTCTCTCTCTCTCTCTCTCTCTCTCTCTCTCTCTCTCCCCCTCCCTCCCTCCCTTCCACTCTAAAAAAACAAAAAAAAAATCAATGAAAAAATATCCTTGGGTGAGGATTAATAAATAAACAAATAGATAAATAAAAGGCATATGGATATTGTTTTATAGTTTGCAGAGCAGTTTCTCATCTGTCAGCTCAGGTTCATCTTACTAAGCCTTTGTTCACCCATTGTCTCTGCCTGACATGCCCTCTTTACCTCGGATCTTCCCAGAGAACACAGGATTTAAAGCCAGGGGGACTGAATTTGAAGCCCTGGCCCTGGTCCTTCTGGTTCTGTGAATTTCAGCAAGTCACTTGCTGCTCAGTTTCTTCATCTGTGAAATGGAGATAATAGCATCACCTGGCTCGGAGTGATGCAGAGTAAATGATCCAACTCACCTGAAGGCCTTAGAATGGCTCCTGACACACAGTAAATGCTCAGTAAATGCAGCCCTCTCTATTAATATTATGGTTAGTGCTGGGAGGTCCCAGGGGCAGCCTGAACTCAGCTCCTCCCTTGTGCCCACAGCCCACAGCAAGGGGAAGATAACCCCCTACACCAACTACCATGCTCAGCGCACCTACCCCATGCCAGATGAGCCCTTCTGCACAGAGCTCAACGCCGAGCAGCAGGCCCTGAAGGAGAAGGAGAAGGGCAGCTGGACCCAGCTGAGCCATGCCGAGAAGGTGGCCTGTAGGTTTCAGAGTGGGCCTGGCTGGGGAGAGGGGGCTGGGGATGGCTTTGCACAGAAAGGCCTGTCAGGGAGCAGAGGGCAGGGCGAGCCCCCACCTACAACAGCCAGAAACCCCTAAACACCTGAATGCATACCCAAAGGGAGAATTTTATTCATTTGTTCATTCTTTTTTTTTTTTAATGTTTTTATTGATTTTTTTTCTTTTAGAGAGAGAGAAACATCAATATGAGAGAGAAACATTGATGAGCCGCCTTCTGCACGCCCCTCACTGGGGATCAAGCCCACAACCCAGGCACGTGCCCTGAATGGAAATCGAACCAGGATCTCCCAGTCCATGGAGTGACGCTCAATCCACTGAGCCATACTGGCCGGGCTGTTCATTTTTTTTTATTCACTCAATTACTGTGCACAGCCTGACGCTAGATGATGCTGGCAACATGGGAGTGAATCACCCAGATGGTTCCTGCCATCAGGGTGCGCCCAGTCCAGTGGGAGAATGGACACAAACCCAGATGGTTGTAATACAGGGTATGTGGCTAGGTGAGGTGTGTTCAGGTGTCTGTGAGGCCCCAAAGGAGAGACGGAGTCCTGGAGGGCCATCCAGAGGAAGGCACATTCCAGCTGGCCGTGAATGGTGAGGGGGAGGGCTCTGCGAGGTTGTGGGAGCAGCATGGGGAAAGATAGGGGAGCAGGAGAGCATGGAGGGTTCTGGCGTCACTGGGTGGTGTGAGGAACAGAGCAGAGAGAGACAAGGGAGGTGGGGGGGCAGAGGGAATGTGTGACCCCAGGTTCTGCCCACCAGAAGTGCCCTGGGCTGACTAATGTTTGAAGCCTTGTTACCAGTTCCTGGCCCTGCTCTGTGTATAAGTAGACGCTTGATAAGAATTTGCTGAATGGGCAGCATCTACTGCAGGGAGGGGGAGACTGGAGATTCCTGAGGCCAAGAGTTGGCTTGGGGTCCTTGGAATGGCTGCACCTCAGCCCCCACCCCCTTCCCTGCATCTAGTGTACCGGCTCCAGTTCCACGAGACCTTTGCAGAGATGAACCGTCGCTCCAACGAGTGGAAGACAGTGATGGGCTGTGTCTTCTTCTTCTGTGGATTCACAGCTCTGCTGATTTGGTGGCAGCGGGTCTATGGTGAGTGTCAACATCCCACCTGGCTGCTGCCCTGGGCCATGCCCTTGTGGCCACAGCCGCCAGCCAAGCTCTTACAAGGGAACTGTGCTGACACTCACCCGAAGAGTGCTAGAAAGTTCCCCAAAGAGGTGTTGGGTGAAGGGCAGAGGATAGCTGCCCGAGTGGGAATGTAGGAACTCTGCCTCTCTGGGCCTCAGTTCCTTCATCTGTAAAATGGGAATAATGATGCCCACATCTCAGGGCTCTTGTGAAGTTTTAATGAGAAGGAGCCGTAGGCCAGGGCCTGGCATATACTTGTGAATGGTGTAGTTACTGCAGTGCAGCACACGTGGCTAGGGTGAAGTGTGTGCAAGGTTCTGTGAGGACCCAAAGGAGAGAGAGAGGGAATCCCGGAGGGCCGTCCAGAGGGCCAGCTAGCTGTTATTAAACAGGAAGTTTTTAGTACATTGTTTCAGCTTCTGTAACAGAGTCCCCAACATATAAGAGCTTAGACAAGATAAAGGTTTTGTTCCTCTGTCTCTGTCTCTCTCTCTCTCTCTCTCTCTCTCTCTCTCTCTCTCTCTTTCACACACACACACACACACACACACACACACACACACACACATACACACAGGCTATGGTAAATATGGGGACTCCACAATGTCAGGCTTCTTCTGTCCCATTGCTCTGCCATCCTTAACATGCAGCTAGCTTTCTTCTTGATAGACCAGATGGCCGCTCTGGCTCCAGCCATAAGCCTACATTCCAGAGAAGAGGGGAAAGAAGGGCACACACCACTTCTGCTCACGTTCTAACGGCTAGAAACGATCGTATAACCATGTCCAGCCGCAAGGAAAGCTGGAAAATGTCGTCTTTAACCCGGCTGTGATATACCCAGCTGACCATTCATTACCACAGAAGGTTGATTCTCAAAGTGTCATTCCTGGACCAATAGCTTCACTTGCGAACTTGTTAGAAATGCAAATTCTCGGCCCCACTCTGGATCTATGGAGTCAGACACTGTGAAGGTGGAGCCCAGCAATGCGTTTTAAGGGCCCTCCAGGTGATTCACTCAGGTTTGAGAAGCACTGCCCTGGAAGAAGGAAGAGGCTGTTGGAGAAGAGCTGCAGTCAGTTGACTTTACCTCCAGTGGCCTCACCTTGTTTCTTCTGTAAAAGTGTGACGGGAATTCCTACCTTGCATAAGAATGAAATGAGAAAGTCTTTGGGAAGGATTCTTGTCTAGACCAATGTTTGGTACTAATAGGTGCCCATAAAGATCATTTCTTTCTTGCCCACCCACTGGGATAGAAAGTACCGGGGATGGACGTCAGGCCGGCTGAGTCAGCCTCAGGGGCGGATGGACCAGGAAGTGAGAAGTGAGGGGTGTTGGACGCTGTGGCTCCCAGGCCTTCCCTACTCCACACATGAAGCCACCTAAAATGCCCCATGAGTGCCTCAGCCTTTGGGTTAAGTATCGTCCTCCTCAGACTTTTAAAGAGAACACCCCTGCCCTAGCTCCCAACCCCCTTCAGGAAGTAAAAGAAACGATCTCCTGGACTCTTCCCAATAAGTGGGAGCAAACTCAGTAATTATAATTATAGTAGCTACTATGTATTAGGGGCTTAATATCTGTCCCAAATTATGCAAATTGTGTTATAAATACTAACTCATTTCATCCCCACAACCCTAGTGGATAGGGCCTGGTTTTGACAGGTAAGAAAACTTGAGGCTTAGAGAGAAAAAGTGACTTGTTCAAGGTCACCCAGCAAGAGAGTAGTGGATGTGGGATTTGGATCCAGACGGACTTCACACTAATGCTCCTATTACCACTGGGCCACACAGCAGGTGAGGAAACTAAGGCTCAGAAGGGGAAGGACCCTGGCCCAGTTCCCACAGCGAATCAAGGCAGAGTTAGGATCAGAGCACAGACATCTGTGGAGTGAAGCTTTAGGGAGTCTAATGGGGTGGGGGTGGACAGGGTGGGGAAGCTCCTCTGTGCAGGGCACCCTAACCCTGTCACTGGGGACCCTGGCTCAGTGGGAGAGCGTGGGCCTGGTCGGGTCCCGAGCTGCCCCCCCTCTTCCCGCCTTTCTGCAGTGTTCCCGGAGAAGCCCATCACCTTGACGGATGAGCGGAAGGCCCAGCAGCTGCAGCGCATCCTGGATATGAAGGGCAACCCCGTGCAAGGCCTGGCCTCCCAGTGGGACTATGAGAAGAAGGAGTGGAAGAAGTGACTCCCACACCCCAGCTGCTCCCCTGACAGCTCCCTCCTGGCCTAAACCTCTGGAGCACCCCTCCCCTCTCCGTCACCCCAATAAAGCTGCCTGTTCTCTTCTGCCTTTCATCTCCACCTCAGTCTTTACCTGCCATAAAGCCTACATTATACCTAAAATGAGGCAGTATAGTAGCTGAGGGACAAGAACAAGCCACTTTCCAGGGCCTCGCAGCCCGGGGGCTTCCTGGAGGAGTAGGGGCTAGAGCTGAGTTTTCAAAGGGTTAGGAAAGGCAGGAAGGAGAAGGAAAGCATTCCAGGTGGAGGAAATGGCTTGAGCAGAGGCAAGGACGCTCCCTTATTCAGTCCATTAACAAATACTTATTGAGTAACTACTGTGTGCCAGGTACTTACTAATCCAGGCCTTGGGGATGCAGCAGTGAGCAGGCATACAGTCTCTGGCCTCATGAAGAAGACATTTTTTTAATAGGGGGAGACAGAAAAGTGAGTAAGTAAGTATAATATGTATGTGGCATGGTAATAGGTGCTATGAAGGAACAAAACAAAGCAGGATAAAGGGACAGAGCTAAAGGGTGATGGAGGGTATTGGGTAGAAGGCCTCTTAGGAGGTGGCATTTGAGAAGAGGTCTGAATTAAGTGAGAAAACAAGCCTTGTATCAAAGACAGAGCAGCAAGTGCAAGACCCTGAGGTGCAATTCTGGTTTGCAGAACTTCAAGGAGACCACCCACAGTGACTGGAGTAGAATGACTTGGAGAGTAGCAGGAAGATGTGTGTTGGGGGAGAGGGTTGGTCTGGGGGAATAAAGCAGATTATATAAAGCCTCAAGGGATTTTATTCTAAGTATGATGGGAATTTTCATCAGCCTGCATCCTCTGAGAAGCAAATGCCAAGAAAGAATGAAAGATGTCCAGAGATGTGTTGGGGTTACACCTGTGAAGGATAAAGGAGACAGGGAGCAGAAGTAGGTGGTGAGACCCTTTAGACTGTGATGCAGGCCTGACCACTGTGGAAAGAGAGAAGGAAGGAAGGAGAATTGGGTAGGAGAGCCTTAGACTTCTGTGCACCATATCTGTTTAAGCCAACCAGGAGATAGTAATTTAACAGGGGCTGTTTAAAGAATTATTACATTTACACAACAGGGTAACTATAAAGGTACAAAGAGTATCCTCGGGAGCATGTCCAAGGAAGGACAAATTTGGAAGGGGTGTGCCTTCCCCAGACTGGGATTCAGACCTCGCTGGAGAAGGTGTGGTTGAAGCCCACCAGATGGCAGAGAATTTTGCTGGGTTGACAAGGCCACAGCTGTCCATAGTCACTGGGCAAGCAAGGTTAGAAGTCCTCAGAGGCCCAGTGAAGCTGAGGCTGGTGGGTGGGGGAATTGAGGCACCTTTGCAGATGTGAGGCCTAGAGCGTGTGGTATCTACCTGAGTTAGGAGAGTGGCAAGAAGATGGTCCGCAGGCGTGGAGGCTGCAAAGTTGCTGATAGACTGGACTCATGGCTGCGGCAGATCACCACCAGATGTCCTCACACACTATTGACCAACCGCACAGCAGGACCAAGAATACCCCCCCCCCCCCACACACACACACATACACACGCTCTCAGAACTAGAACATTTCCTCCTGAAATGTCCCCTCCAACACCCTCTGCTGGCAAAGTTTAGCATCTCACTGTAGAAGAGGCAATGCTCAGAGTCCAGTTCATTATTGCAGAGCAGGTACCAAAGGGTGAATTTGGAGTTGAGAGGCAATAAATTGAAAACTGGAACAGCAACTCTGAGAAAGTCTTGGCCAGGCCAGGCTTGGGAGCCCAGAGCAAAAAACAGCCCATCAGGGGAGTCTTTTGTTGGCAAAATTGACCCATCCTCAGGACCCCACTGTGCTGTCCTTGGCTGGGAGCAGCCCAGGGGGACCATGGCCTCAGCACAAAGGCTGCAGCAGAACCATAGCAGGTTCGCTTGGAGAGAAATCTGGGCAGCACACCTCTTTGGACACCTTAGATGCCCATAGAGGGATTTAGCAGAGCAGTTGTGACAACAATACCGGGTGGGGCAAAAGTTGGTTTACAGTTGTTCCTATGGAAAATAACACAATAATTAGCAAATAATAATACAAGAATAAGTTCTGGCCCGGCCGGTGTGGTTCAGTGGTTGAGGGTTGACCCATGCACCAAGAGGTCACCAGTTGGATTCCCAGTCAGGGCACATGCCCAGGTTGTGGGCCCGATCCCCAGTGGGGGGCATGCAGGAGGCAGCCAGTCGATGTTCTTGCTCATCGATGTTTCTATCTCTCTCTCTAAAAATCAATAAAGAAAAAAAGTATTTTTTAAAGAATAAACTGTTTCGCAACTCACAACTGTAAACCTACTTTCGCCCCAGACTGTACTTGTTCAATCAACAAATACTTACAGTGCATCCACCATGTACCAGGCTCTGGGGCAGAGCAAATGAGACCTCAATCCAGTCCTCATGACTCTGAAAGTCTGGAAGGGGGACATAGACATTAATCAGATGATCACACTAATAAATTATAGTACAAATGAGTGCTAAGAAAGGGAGGTGCATGTTACTTGGACGGATAGGGTGGGGAACTGACATAGTCTAGAGCAGTCAGGGAGAGATTCCTTGAGGAAGTGTCCTCAGACCTAAGATATGAAGAATGACTGGATATAAACTAGGTGAAATGGGTAGTAGAATAGCATTCAAGTCAGAAAAAAAGCATGTGCAAAAGCCTGTGGTAGTGAGGACTATGGCATGCATGATAGAGGGAATTAAGGGAGCCAAAGGGCTGTCAGAGGAGAAGGTAGTGATGGACAAGGGGTAATGGGAAAGTAGGAAACTCATACAGGGCCTTGGAGTATCTGCCGCCTCAATTGAAGGGACATGTCTGGAGAAAGCAGGGAAATGGAGCTGGGGGACTATGTTGGGGCCAGAATATGGGGAGCCTTGAACATTCATTTAATTTTTGTCTGAGGGAGACAGTTGCTTTGGTCCTAGGCTCTGTTTAGTATGAGGGATTCATTTATTAGTCACCATCTTAGCATAAGAGATGCTGGGGACCCAAATATGAAGCATATAGGAGCCTTGACCTCCAGGTCTCCTAGCCTGTTGTGTAGGACAGCCAGTTGGAAGCCAATGAGGGAAAAACTATGAAAATGTTTGGTAGTATGTTTTGACCCAGACCCTGATGCTTTTCTAGCAGCAGGAGCAGTTTCAATATACCTGAAAATGTTGAAATACGCAGTAGAATTTGTTTAGATTAATATATTGCTAAGGAATCATGTTGTGAGTAACAAAGAAAATGGTCAAAATTGGCCCAGGGAAATATTAGATGTTGTACTAAGTCAATTTCCCCCCTACAATAAATAATGCTGTGCAACAAACAACCCTAAAGCTTGGTGGTTTACAACTTAGAGCACTTATTTTATCTTTTATGGGCTTGTGGTGTGAGTAGGCTGAAGCTCTGCTGGGATCTGCAGGTTTTGTTCGTTAAACCCATAACCGTTGGGTTGAGGATTATTCCATGCGTTTCCTTGTTCTGGGACCAGCAGACATCCAGGGCATGTTATTCTCACGGTAGAAGTCAGAGACTCCTGAGGGGGCAGAGAGACAGGGGGACACATGGCACTCTTAAAGCCCAGCCTCAGAACTAGCACTCAGAAGCAGCACCACATTCTACTGGCCAAAGAAAGTTCCATGGTGTTCGGTTACTATCGGTACAAACCACCCCAAAACTTATGGGCATAAAACAACCATTATATTATGTCTACCAAGTCTGTAGGTCAGGAATGTAAGCAAGGCAGAGTGGGAACTGCTTACTTCTGCTCTAAAATGTCTGGGGCCTCAGCTGGAAACACTCAAAGGCTGTGGCCACAACCTTCTGAAGGTGTTTTCATTCATACATCTGGTGGTTGACGCTGGCTGTTAACTGGGACCTCATTTGGAGCTGTCAACCAGACACCTCTTTATAGCATCCTCAGGTGGTCTCTCTGTTTGGCTAGTTGGGCTGCCTCGAGGCATGGTATGTTGGTTCCAAGAGAGCAAGAGGGAAGTGCGTTGCGTTTTTATAATCTCACCTTAGAAGTCAAATAGTGTTACTTCTGTTGAACTCTATTGGTCAACACACAAAGGTCCACTCAGGTGCAAGGGGGAGAGGACAGAGACTTGCCCACTTGATGGGAAGACATTAAGGTCACAACATAAGACACGAGATGCTTACGAGATAGAAGTATTGTGGCCATTTTTAGAAAATACAGGCTGCCACCCGCAGTCAAACCCAACATCGATGGGCAAAAAAAGTCTTCCATCCACATGCATATGGAAAGTATGGGGAAAGAAGGCAGAACTGAGTGAAAAATACACCCCACCACAGAGGTATGGAAGTAACCAACACAAAATCAAGTTGGCAGAAACTAAAACTGACTATGTTAAATTGGAAATTGACTAAAATCCAAACAGAATATAAACTTGACATTTAAGATAATCAGATGTGACCTGAAAAAACTGGACCAATTGAAGATAATGAACAAAGTAGACAACGCACAATAGCAGGAAACTGGTGAAATCAGATGTGGACTAAAAATGACTGAGAAAAGAATGAAATCTCCCTGGTAGCATTTACTCCATGAAACCATGCGATTGTCATGAAAAAATGACTTTGTAAGATTACATTTAAAATAGAAATGAGAAAGAATTTAACTTTGGTCATATAATAATTGATCAAGGAATTAACTTGTCTTCGTGCAGCTTGCTCAAGAAAACTCTGTCTTGATGAATTAGAATTAGAGTAATTCTGATACAAATTACTGGGTTCAAAGCTCAGTCAAAATAGTCTTGTGGGAAATACGTCTATGAGGTCAAAACATTTGGGTCAAAATATCTTGTCACAGTATAATTTACTGTAAAAAATGAGAAAGAAATGCAAAAGACAAATGAGGAACTCAAAAGTGTTTATATGTATGAGAGATCAAGGGTTGATTTCCTTAATATGTTTTTTTTAATCTGACAAATCAGAAAGATAAAAAACAGGAATGCAGTAGAAAGTGAGCAAAAGTCAAAACCAGGGAGACTACAGAAACAAACAAACAACAAACCAGACAAACAAAA